AGCAGGTGCAAGAAATCAGAAATGAGCAAAAAATTTCCTATGCTGAAGCAGTTAAAAGAGTGGAGGGAAAATCCCGGGAGCAAGCTTCTATGAGTACCGTTCAGAGTGGACCGACGGGGCGGTAGTATGCCGGACAATCAAGATGTACTTGTCAGTAAAGAGGCGCTTCTGGCTTTTATGGTTGATGTAATGTATTTAGCACGTGACAAGCAAACACGATCTGATGTGATAAAATGTGTGAAAAGTGTGAAGCAGCTGCTAGATTCCTGGGGCTAAAAAACTATTCTCCCCAGTCACTGCATGATTCAATGAGGGAAACCTATCTGAGGGGGAGGAAAATTCTGGTGACTCAAAGCCAACCAGGGAGTCAACCAGTGATCCAACCTGTGAGTGTAACCGCGAGTTCAGGTGAAGGAAGTAGGAGGGAAGGCGGAGTAGATGTGGAAGTAGAGGGAGTGGACATGCATGGGTGGGATTCTGAGGCAAGCCTTGACGATTATTAGAATTTATTATGGTCTGTATCCTGCAGTGGAATGCAAGGAGCTTAATAGCCAATGGACAAGAATTTAAAAAGGTAGTAAGAGATTTTGATATTAAGCCAGACATATTGTGTATCCAGGAGACATGGTTAAAACCTTGTTTGGATTTTTCCATTCCAGGATATGTGTGTCTTTGTAAGGATAGGGAAGATCGGGTAGGGGGGGGGTGTGCAACCTTTATCAAAACAGGGATTCAGTATAAACTGTGTGAATGTGAAGTGTCTTTTGAGTGTATAATGGTAGAAGTATGGACTTCTGAGGGGAAAGTGCACATTGTTAATTGCTATAATCGCTGCAAGCCTCTGGTGTTAAAGGAACTTGAAGGGGTGTCTAGTATCACAGGAGCAATATCAGTTTGGGTGGGTGATTTTAATTCTCACAATCCTCTTTGGGGTAGTCGGAAAATAAATTCAAACGGGGCTGTGGTGGAAGAATTTTTAGACAGGGGAAATTTAATTATTTTAAATGATGGGAGACCTACACGGGTAGATAGCAATGGGTGTTCAACCTCTGTTTTGGACTTAACTTTAGCATCTCCATCCCTAGCCAGGAGAGGAGAATGGGAAGTGTGTAGCGATACAATAGGGAGTGACCACTTCCCTGTATTAACTAGGTTTCAGAAAACTTTGATTATTGAGAATGAAGAAAGAGTGGGTCGGTTTGACTTTTCTAGAGCGGACTGGGGAAAGTTTAGGGAGGGCACTTTAGAAGGTTTAGACAGTGTAAATAGTGAGGGTACTATAGATGAAATGTGTGAATCCATCACAACTATGATTGTCAAGGTAGCAACGGAGTCAATCCCGTGCAGGAAAAATCCTCGAGAACGAGTTATTGTGCCATGGTGGAATGGAGAGTGTAGTGAAGTAGTTAAGCAGAGGAAGAAAGCTTTTAAGAATCTCAGAAAGAACCCGAATCAGGATAATGCAGTGGAGTACAAAAGGTGTCGAGCAGTGGCAAGGAAAGTTATTAAGAAGGCAAAAAGGAGTAGCTGAGTGCATTCTGTGGCACCATAGGTCCTACTACTCCAGTTAAGCAGATTTGGGCGAGAGTTCATAAAATGTCAGGCAAGAGGGTGCATTCAGATGTCCCAGTGTTAAAGGATGGTGGCATTGAGGCAATAACAAGTAAAGACAAGGCCGATGTTTGTGTTAAAACTTTTCAGAAAGTTCACAATTTGTATTCTCTTAGTGAGGAGAGTCTTAAAATGAGGGAGTAGCTGCTATTGGAGGAGGGGTGGAAGCTCGGGGGTAGACTAGATCGAGATCTTCCGAGCGCCACCGCAGGGCCTTTATCCCCACCGCTGTCAGACTGTACAATAAGTCACTTTAAATGATCACTGTGTGAAAACCTGCACTACTATTGACACTGTTTCCAATTGACACTTGTCACTTTTGTTGTACATAATTATTGTCACTTTTATTGTACATATATATCCTGCATGTAACATATTTGCACATTTCCTCCTTTTGCACAATCTGAGTGTTCTATCCATGCCAAATGTGACATGTAAATTTCTCCTATGTGAGATAAATAAAGCACATCTTATCTTAAATAAGTTTATTTCTTTTAAGAAGTTACAAGATGCTATCCAGGCTGGTGCTAATACATCTCCGGGGCGGGACGGGGTGACATACAAACTGTTGCAACATGTTGATGATCAGGTAATGGAGGAGATACTTGTGCTATTTAATTACATTTGGGAGGCTGGCACATTGCCAAAGTCTTGGAAACATGCCATTGTGATCCCCTTAGTGAAGCCTGGTAAGGATCCTTCGTCTCCTTCGTCATACAGGCCTATAGTATTGACTGCAGTACTCTGCAAAGTAATGGAGAGGATGGTGACAAAAAGGCTTGTGTATTTTTTAGAAGTCAGTGAGTTCTTTGTTAACTACCAGAATGGATTTAGAGTAGGAAGGAATACAATGGATTCAGTAGCAGTACTTGATCAGGATATTAAACGAGCAATAATAAACAAAGGTAGTGGTAGCAGTGTTCCTGCACATCGAAAAGGCTTATGACAGTAAGTGGAGAGAGGGCCTTTTGATAAAACTGTATAATGCAGGGATATGTGGTCGGATGTTTCAGTGGATAAAAGATTTTCTTAGTAACAGGTCTATACAGGTGAGAGTAAAAGGTGAACTTTCTGAGGTACAGTAGCAAGTATATTGAATGGAACTCCACAAGGGTCAGTTATTAGCCCGATTTTATTTAATATTATGATAAATGATATTTTTCAGAACATTGATGCAGGATTTGGAAGATCTCTGTTTGCGGATGATGGGGCTGTTTGGAGGAGAGGAAGGAAGCTGGATTCTCTTATGGAACAGACACAGAAAGTTTTAAATCAAATAGTTCAGTGGGCAAATAAATGGGGTTTTAAAATATCTGTGGCAAAGAGTAATTATGTGACTTTTGGATTGTAGAAGAGGGGAGCAAAGGGGTCTTTAAGTTTGTATGGTAATCCATTAGAGAAGGTGAATGTCTTCAAATTTCTAGGAATGTGGATGGATGAGAAACTAACTTGGAATAGGCATGTAGAAAAAATTGTTGTTAAATGTGAAAGGATAAATAATTTACTTCAGTGCTTGGCTGGCAGTGACTGGGGAGCAAATAGAGAAACAATGCTCATGATTTATAGAGCAATGATTCGGTCCTCGATTGATTGTGGTTGTTTTGTATATGGGGCTGCCTCTAAAACGGTTTTACAAAAACTTGAAAGAGTACAATCAAAAGCCTTAAGAATCGGCAGTGGTGCTTTTAGGACAACACCTATTCCATAGCACTGCGGGTCGAGATGGGAGAAACTCCTCTTGGAATTAGGAGGCAAAAACTTGGGCTCCAGTATTGGGCAAGATTAGCTGGATTAAAACACAATTCGGCTGCAAAATGCCAATTGAGTGAATATTGGGAGTTTGATAAAAGAAATGAAAAGAGTAACTTTTTGTGTAGGGTAAAAGAGATTGCTAAAAGGGAAGGATTAGAGAATAATGTGGTAGGGTTGGTGTGGCCATACATTCCCTTCTGGAGGATGTCAGAACCTGAAGTGCAGTTGTATTTTTTGGGGATGGAGAAGGCACAGGTCAAAAGACAAGTGGAGAAGTTCATCAGTGAAAACAAGGAGACTGTGCATGTGTTTACAGATGGTTCAAAGGATCCAGGGTCTAGACAGGCAGGATTTGGTGTCCATCCATCCATCCATCCATTTTCTTCCCCTTAATCCATTTCTGGGTCGGGGGGGGTGGCAGTCAGGGCTGCACCCAGTACACTTAGCACCAGCCCCTCACTGATCCTCCTGCAGGTGGTGAGTCCACAGGAGCTGAGATCTTTCAGCGGGGGCTTCAGGCAAAGTGGGGTTAAGTGTCTTGCCCAAGGACACAACGACAGCAGTCATCAGTGGGAGTCGTGAAGTAGGTCTTAGTGGGCTTGAACCCATGACCTTCAGGCCCAAAGGCCAATGCTCTACCAACTGAGCTAATGTGTGTCCATGTAATAAATTGTGATTTTAATTTCAGTAGTCGAATTAGCGATGGTCTATCTGTGTTCTCTGCCGAGCTTCTTGCTATTTGGTGGGCTTTGAAATGGGTAGAAGATAATAAACCCAGGGATACATTTATCTACTCAGATTCGGCTGCGGCATTGCAGGCTCTCAATATGGATCTATTGAAAGGAGCTCGCCCTGATCTGGTATTTGAAGTACTGTCATGTCTTCATCGATTACAATTGGGCGGGTTAAGAGTAAATTTAGTTTGGGTCCCAGGACACTGTGGGATTTTAGGAAATGAGATAGCTGACAAATCTGCTAAGCAGTCTCTTCTGAAAGAGTCAATAGGCATTAGAGTACCTTTAGGTAAAGCAGAGTGTGTGAGTGTTTTTAAGAAGCTGGGTGATCAGGAGTGGCAGAGAGAATGGCAAAAAGAAACCAGAGGAAGACTTTATTTCAGGAGTCAACCTTCAGTTAAAAACAATAGGGAATATTTAACAACAAGACGAGAACAGGTCATTATCGTGAGGCTAAGACTGGGGCATTGTGGGCTCGCTGCCTGTTTAAGGATTATAGGAAAACATCCAGATGGACTTTGTCAATGTGGACAGACTGAAAGCGTTAAGCATGTGCTATTGGACTGTCAGAAGTACGCAGTGGAGAGAGAGAGGATGCTGTGTGAATTAAGTGACTTGGGTTTTAAAGTTTTTTCAATAGCGAGTATATTCGCGGTATCGCGGGTTTCACGTAGAGTCATATTAAAATATCTGCTCTCTACCGACCTAGTCTCGAGAATTTGTCCCTAATTGTGTGTGGAAAGATGACGGAGGAGGGCAGCATTGCCCCGTACCGGCGCACAGCCTGCCGGAAAAAATTAGAAGAAGAAGAAGAAGAGGCTGTGTCTTTTCCGCATCTGTGCAATTCGCTTTGTATCTGGTCTGTGTGTTTAGCTCGGAGCTCAAACTAAAACAGTTAGGAAAATGTCTACAGATCAAACGTTGAGGGTTTTTATAAAGGAGAAGAACATAGAGACACCGTATTTTGAGATGAAAGAAGAGCTAGAGGAAGAGAGCATCAAACAGGAGGAAGAGCAGCTGCCAGTGTAAGACATTCATCCACATGTTACTGCTCTTAGCCTCATGCTAAACTAATCCCGAGTTTACATTAGATATTAAACCAGCATTATCTTGACACCACAAGGATTGTCAATGCTACTTCTGCAGCTGCAACAGTCTGAGCCTGGTTCATCTGGACCCTCTGCTCTGTCATCCTCTCATCCACATGTAGTAGTACATGTTCTGTCTAATGTATGACTTGTTGGGGTTATGTGTATCGGCCCAATGTATCTGTCCAATCAATTAACATAACTGAACTCGTTTTACTACCAAAATTAATATCTGATCTGTGGATTATTCTGATAACTGGGGTTCATACAAATTATGATTATTATTAAAATACATCTAACTAAAAAGTAAATGCAGATACATAATCTAATCCAGAAGGAAAAGATGAAGATGTAAACAAACAAACCATAAATAAAATGATGGATATTTATTTATATAGCACAAATTGTTAAAGAATTTTCCGAAGCTAAGAAATATGATCATACAAGTCTTCCAGCTGAAATTCTCTCTTGAGCCATGTTTCCAGTCCAGGCTCCAGAACCTTTGATTCAAACATATTTCAAAGACACCGTATAAGACAATATAAACACAATATAAGAACATATCAAACATATTTAAACACACAGTATATAGGTTTTATGCGGTATTAAGTGCTTTAAAAGAAACTGTGCATATTTTCAGTTGGATTATTATTATTCTCCTCTAGGGACTAATACGTTTGTTATTAGATTTACAATATATTGTTTTTTGAATCTCTTTGTGAGAACCAGGGACTTTGTGTCTGAGGTCCTGACCTGCAGTGTGGGGGGCCCCCCAGGGGACTGTCCTCGCGCCGTTCCTCTTCACCCTCTACACTGCGGACTTCAGACACAACGCGGACGGTTGTGTCCTCCAGAAGTTCTCCGACGACTCTGCCGTCATCAGACTCAGCTCCGAGGACGATGACGCGGAGTACAGAGGAGTTATACAGAACTTTGTGGACTGGTGTCAGCGGAACCACCTCCTCATCAACGCGGGGAAGACCAAGGAGATGGTGGTGGATTTCCGCAGACGTCACTCTGCCGCTCCAGCCCCAGTGAACATCCAGGGAAAGGACATTGAGAGAGTGGACTCTTACAAGTACCTGGGTGTTCATCTGAACCACAAACTGGACTGGACTCATAACACAGACGCCCTCTTCAAGAAGGGCCAGAGTCGACTCTACCTGCTGAGGAGGCTCAGGTCTTTTGGAGTGCAGGGGCCACTCCTGAAGACCTTCTATGACTCTGTGGTGGCATCAGCCATCTTGTACGGTGTGGTCTGCTGGAGAAGCAGCATCACAGAGAGAGACTAGAAGAAGCTGGACAAGGTCATCAGGAAGTCCAGCTCAGTCCTGGGCTGTTCCCTGGACACAGTGCAGCAGGTGGGGAACAGGAGGGTCCTGAGCAAACTAACATCTATGCTGGACCATGACTGTCACCCCCTGCAGGACACTCTCTCTGCTCTGGAGAGCAGCTTCAGTGACAGACTCATTCGTCCTCGCTGTGTGAAGGAGAGGTTTCGCAGGTCTTTCCTTCCTGCTGCTGTCAGGCTGTACAACGAGAATGTGTAACAAGAACTGCTGAGTCTGTACAAATTTCACTGATTGTTCACTATAGTAACTTGTCACTAGCCACTTTACCTGCTGTTAGTATTACTGTATTATTACACATCCATCTGATATTTCTGCCATTCACAAGCCACTTTACCTGTTCATATGCATATTCCCATATTCTCCGCTGCTAAAGTACAATAGACATCTGTAAATACTTTTGAACCAAGTGCAATTATAGCCCAGAGTTTATTTTATTTTATTTTATTCTTATCGTAATTTTATTGTCTATTATCTTAAATAATAGACTTATTTGATGTGTGCAATCTGAGTGCTCTTATTTCCTTCTTTCTCTGCTGTAATGTGCGCAACGATGACACTGAAATGTCTCCACTGTGAGACGAATAAAGGTTCATCTTATCTTATCTTATCTTATCTTTTTCAGATCTGCCCCAGAGTTTTTTTCTGTGTGTGTGAAGACAGAAGAGGCATCACCGTTTCAACCTGAATTCAAACAGGAAACTCAGGACATCAGCACAGAGCCACATTTACACCCAGAGACTGAGGGAGACACGGAACACTCTTCTGAATATGAGGAAGGCCGGAGAACTCCTTCCAGCTGTTCAGATGATGAAGACTTCTTCAATCACGTCCTCAACATCAGAGCCAAACGGGCCACTGAACAAAACTCAAATCTATCTAAGATCAAGTTAGAACCAGAGACCATTGCTACTGTGAAGAAAAAAAAGATAGTAAAAGTAAAAAGGCCTGGAGTAAATCCCCAGGAGTGCCCTATTTGTAAAAAGATACTAAAAGGCTCTGTCAAAGTCCACATGAGAATTCACACAGGAGAGAGACCTTACAGCTGTGTTATTTGTAACAAATCGTTTAACCAATTAAATGGGTTAAATTCTCACAGGAGATCCCACACAGGTGAAAAAGCATACAGCTGTTCCATTTGTCAAAGAGAATTTACCAACCATAATGGACTGAAATACCACATGAGTAAACACACAGGGGAGAAACCTTACAGCTGTCCATTCTGCAGTAAAGCATTTCTTTGTAATAGTAATCTACTGTCACATATCAGAACACACACAGGAGAGAAGCCTTACAGCTGCTCAACCTGTAACAAAAAATTTAACCGTAAAAGTGGTTTGAATGTTCATGAAAGATACCACACAGACAACACATTCAGCTGTTCGATCTGCATTAAAACGTTCCCCGTAAGCTCTAAACTACAAGCACACATGAGAACTCACACTGGGGAGAAACCTTTCAGCTGTACGCTTTGTAAGAAAACCTTTATATGCAAACGGTATCTAACTGAGCACAGCCGGACGCACACCGGGGAAACTCCCTTTAGTTGTTCAATCTGCAAGAGAGCGTTTGCCCAAAGTTCTACTCTGAGGACGCATGCAAAAATTCATAAAAGAGAAACTGCAAAAGATGTTTCAAACCATTCTGCAACTGATGCAATGCTTGAATGAAGCTGGAACAAAGGTGACAGTACCAGCAGTCAACACCAAGGAACCCAACAGTTGATCATTCTACCGTCTATTTGCCACAACTCCCACCAGCTATAGGAAGAGCAGGTTTATTTGGATAGCACAGCTCATTCAGAAGACCATAACTTTTTTGTGTGCGTGAAAATATAGACATACAATACATGTGCAGACGGACAGACAAATACATGTGGGTGTGTGGGTGGGCGTGTATGGGTGCAAGTTCCCATCTTAGCAATTTGATGCATCCACCCATCACCCTAATTGCCCCTATTGCCCTTCCTTTTGTATACCAGTTGGCATACCAGTTGGCATACATGTGTCTAAAGTGGTGCATTAAAAAGAACACTATGGGAGGCTGTCTACTTGGGGCTGGGGAGCTGTTCCAAGGACATCATCTTGTGTCCCTGTATACCTAACAGATTTCTTTTTCTTTTTAAAAAGGTTTTTATGCATTATATATTTTTATTTTTTCCCCTGCTTTTTCCTATTCTTGAGATATTGTGCATTAAAAACACAAACAAGGATGGTGGAAGAATTAGGGACTGCTGTGATTTAATGAGTAGAGTTCGATATGAATGGTGTTGCTGATAGTGGTGATACTGAGGGCTGGTTTAGTGGGGTAAGGAGAATGATAATGATTGTAATGTATGACATTAAGTAAACACAATGCAAAAACAACTTGAGGGTAGTGGGCAACACAATCGTAGTAATCACACATACAGTGAAAAAGAGTTAAAGAGTAGTTGTAAAGGATAGATGTGAGTTTGGGGGGTATTGATGTTGGATGTGAGGGTGGTCATGTGCTTATGTCTGATGTCTGCCTGTGTTAGAGGGCTCTCTGTTAAGAAAATGTAATAGTGTGGGTTTGATGGAGAGGGGTACTATAGTGGTATGAGTAGATGAGGTGGGTGAGGTTGGTGTGTTATCAAGAGTGAGGTGGTCTCGGAGGAGATTTTTCCATTGGTTGATGCTTATTTTGTGTCTTGTTTTCCAGTTCATGAGCAAGGAGTGTATTTTGGTCATTTGTATTTGGTCCTATAAATAATTTCATATTAAATCAGGTGCAGATTGGTGTTATTTGTCATGGAGTATATGGTTTGGCAGATTTGTTTCCAGAAGGTGGAATCTTGCCAGTTGGGATGGAGCAGAATGTGTTGGATTTAATGATTGTTTAGTAAGTTTTGGAGAGATGTTTTACTGCTTTTAGGTTGACAAAAGTAGTGATCAGAACTTTGAGGTCCTTGGATCAGCCTGTATATTGTTCAGCAAAAGAAGGAACAACATATTTGCTCCATTATTTCTCAGATCACAGCATTGTAGGTTTCTGTGCCTTCTGATCAAGCAAAGAGTATCAGTAAAATTTTGCATATTTTTGTTTTGTTGGCAAGACCTGAGAGGACGCGAGGTGTATACAGAAAATGAAAACATTTGGGACCCTCTCGAAAGTGTGATACATCTCAAAGGGCTTTCCCTAAATGAAACAAGACCACATAGGAGATTTTGATAGGGAGAAGTGTGGACTCTGTGGGAGTTTTCCTGGAAAGAAGGATGAGGAATTATCTATGTATGGATGGATGGGTGTGTTTCTGCTGCTGGACACCTGCATTTTGCCAGGGATCACGTAAATATCTATCTGAACATTTTTGCTATAAATTGTAGTTTATTTTAAAACGTATGGACTCCATTTTGTTAACAACACGCTGGTTGTTGGGGGAACCTGGCGCTCCCTCTGGTGTGCATAGAAATGACAGCAGTATGTTCAAATGTTACAAAGTGCAACACTGTTGTAATCTTGGCTAATAAAATATTAGACATTTACAGTAGTTTCTCAGTCAATTCCAATGCATTTCATTTATTTGTGTCTTGTGCTAAATCCCTAAATCACAACAGCAGTCGCTGAGGAGGAATTTACGTTTAAATTTAAGTTGTCATTTTTCCAACAACATCCCAACATAGAGCCATTGGTCCATAGCGAGCATCACCAATGTCCAGAAATGTTAATAATTGTCTTTCAACAAGGAACAATTAAAACAACTCAATGGGAGAAAATGTGAGATCTTTGAGGAGGTCCACAGTGAGAGGAATCCAATCCTACAGACTAGAACTAGGACATCACATTTAAAGCTAGGGTACTTGACTTTCAAACCACACAAAAAATAACTAAGCATTATAATCCATCTAAATTGCTATATTCCCCCTGCATACAGTTTGATGATATCACTGGTTTTCACATGCATGTATTTTTGGCCTCTGTCATATCTTTAGGTTGTTTTTTTTCAGACAGAAAAGTGGCTGGTGATATTTATGTATTTATGAAAAAATTAGGTCTATTATGTGTATAACATGTGTATCTCAACGCGGAAAAAATAACATGCACATTAATTACTGCTTTTTTCTTTGTTTGTTTAAATTCCATAAATAATGAATGTTCACAATTGAACCTTGCATCAGATCATTATTTCTGAACAGGAAAATATTTAAAAGCTGTTGTGACTGTTATAGAAATATTTTAGAAAAGCAATCTGAATTAACACCTAATAGTTATGAGTGTAAGTTATTAACTAATAGTCAACTCTGGATTCAGATACAGGCCATAGTGCTCTGTTGGCAGCAGGTCAGTGATAGATGGAGACGTGCTGCATCATGTCTTTGACCTGGGTCATAGAACAATATGTTCAGTTCAAAAGCAGATTGTTACATATATCAGAGTTGTATCAGCGTTAGGAGGCGTAAAGAGAAGCCTTGAGCAACACATATCAATGTTGACTTCATTTATGTAATATCTAGAGTAGATATGTGTTTGTTTACTCTGGTCTATTTAATGTACAGTCATTTCCTCAATCGGGGCAGTCGATTTCGGACGGCTGCCCGGTGGTATTGGTATCGGTTCTGTTATTCATTGTAATTGTGCACATTTACTAATGATAAACTCACACTTTGTTTGGAATTACGGCTCTGGGTTGTTTACATTATTTTACTCTTGTTATGTGCAGTAATTCTACAACATGACTTATTTAGTTCTAGACATTAAACATTGATTATTAGTTGTAACATAATTATAATCGTATTTCCAAATTACAAGGCACGGTAAAAAAGTGCCATATGGTTTTAATTTGAAGAAACGGAAGTGTTTTATTGTGAAGGGTGAAAACAGGATCTGTTCTAGTTTTATGAAACCATCTTAACTAAAAATGTGAATCAGCAAAAGTTGTCACTTGCCGCTGTGTTTTGTTCAATAAACCTGAACAAGAAAGTTCAGTAAAACTACCGAGCCTCCGTCATGATTATAGAAGCTGTATCTACGTATCATTTGGTGCCGAAACCCGGGATGTAAGGACTTTAAGAACTTTTTCGAACGAAGTGAACAGCTAACGGCTCGGTTTAGCAGCCGTCATGACGGAGGGACTCGAGCGGCTGAAAAGGAAGCGGGCGACTATTCGCGCCGCTACGACGAGGCTGTTAACCCGCCTAGAGGACGAGGTGGGGAAGGAAAGACCAGATACTGACAAACTACGCGAGTTTCTGGCAGTTTTATCATCGAAGGAGGACAGTTTATTGGACTTGGACAAGGGCATAAAAGATGTGACTCCCACGGACGATCTGGACACGGAGATTTCAAGCACACTGGATTACATGGACCGCGTTCTCACTTGGAAGGTTCGCGCCACCACCACCATCGGGCATCAGGAAACCATCAGAGACACCCCGAGAGTGCGCGTGAGCGATGGGAGCAGTGGTTCATTTACATCACAGTCCAGACAAACTGTTAAACTTCCTAAGCTAATGATAACAAAGTACGATGGTGAAATAAGCCAGTGGCAGGAATTCTGGTCACAATATGAAACAGCTATTCACAGAAATGAGGTACTATGCAAGACAGACAAGTTTACTTACCTCAGATCCTACCTGACTGGAGCAGCTGCTAGAACTATTGCAGGGCTTACAATGACAGATGCCAACTACGATGCTGCAATAGAGTTACTCCAGAGCCGCTTTGGGAGAAAGGACATTGTGATAAGTGCCCATATGTCCAAACTACTGAACTTAACCCCTGTTAAAAGATCTTCTGATGTTACAGCTTTGAGGCACTTGTATGATGAATGTGAGATCCAGATACGCAGTTTGGAGTCACTTGGAGTCCAGAGTGACACGTACGGCTGCCTGCTTTGTCCAGTGCTACTGCAGCTCATTCCGGAGGACATCGCACTTGCCTACACCCGCCAACCAAACGCGACCAACGAATGGAAGGTGCCAGAGTTGATTCAGTTTCTACAAAATGATGTGCAAAGCAGAGAACGAGCGCTTCAGCTTACCAGACCAGGCCATGCATCGAAGGATCCGAGCCCACAACACAAGAATGTGGGTAAGCCATCCTACGCCTGCGATAAACCCAGAAAGTGGAGTGTCCCGTCAGCGACCGCCTTGCACACTGCCAGTGCCGTGCCCCGGACCTGTGTGTATTGTGACAGTAGCGACCACAAACCAGAGAACTGTTCCGACCATACAGTTAGTGCACGCAAGGATAAACTGAGAAAACTTGGACGGTGTTATGTCTGCTTAGGCCCAAAACACATTGCAAAATACTGCAGAGTAAAGGTTTTGTGCAGCTTATGCAACCGGAAACACCACTTGTCAGTTTGTGAGCAGTCTGAAGCCAAGCTAGATATTAACACTACCAATAGTAGTGAAAATACAGAAGCTGTGTTGTCGTCATTGACGAGCCCTGTCAAGGTGAAGACCAATACTCAGAACACAGTACTACTTCAGACAGTTAAGACATGGACTGTAGGACCAAAAGAGAGGAAGATAACACGCTGTCTATTAGATGGAGGCAGCCAGCGAAGTTTCATTCACAGAAACGTCGTCAGAGCCTTAGGACTCCCAGTTGTAAGGCAAGAGACACTAAATCTCCATGTTTTTGGTTCCACCTCTCCTGTAACAGAGAAACGCAATGTTGTGAGAGTTGAGCTCGAGAATATGTGGAACACTGAACAGAGACTTGAGATTGAAGCTGTAGAGACTCCTCAGGTGTGCAGTGCTGTGATAAAAGTCCCAAGCGAGCCCATTCAAGCAGAGATAAAGAAAAGAGGGCTTCAACTTGCAGACTTTCCACTAGAGGGTGCTAACGATCAAGAGTTACAGGTGTTAATAGGAGCAGACTACTACTGGCAAGCAGTCACTGGAAAGGTCCAAAAGGTCACAAATTCACTAGTGGCAGTTGAGAGTATTTTTGGATGGGCTTTACAGGGGCCAGTGACTACCTCCAGCGTTACAGAAACCACTTGCATGCACATAAGTTTGACTGAAGAGACCCAGATTTCCAAACAGTTACATGCATTCTGGGAGGTCGAGTCCCTGGGCATTGTAAACAAACAGGCGGAGAGCCCAGAGGACTCAGACATTTTACAAAGCTTTGAACAGACTACTACATTAGAAAATGGACGCTACCAAGTTGAGTTACCATGGCGATCTGACAAAGGTCAGCTCCCAGACAACTTTAAGGTAGCAAAGAGACGTTTTGAGAGCCTTATGAGAAAACTAAAAACTGATGCAGCCTTGTATGCCAGGTACAACAACGTAATACAGGACTACCTGCAGCAAGGGATCTGTGAGGAGGTTTTAGAGGACAAAACAGTGGCAGGGAACCAAGAGACTGTAAGATATTACATGCCACATCACGCTGTTGTAAGAGAGGACAAGGCCACAACTAAACTGAGAGTGGTATTTGATGCGTCCTCACATGATGCAGACAGCCCATCCCTCAATGACTGTTTGCACACAGGGCCTAATCTAAACCCAAACCTGCTAGAAGTACTCATCACATTCAGGTTGCATGAGATTGCCTTCACTGCTGATATAACCAAGGCTTTTCTTCAGATTTCCCTCGCAGAAAAGGATAAAGATGCTGTTAGGTTCCTGTGGATGCATGGACCACCGACCAAAGACTGCAAGAATGAGGTATGTGTCCTGAGAATGAACAGAGTGGTTTTCGGAGTGGCTC